GTCCGAGTGAGTCCGCGCCGGGCCCTTAAGGGGAGCTGCTGGGGCTCCCGCAGCCTCCGGGACCCTCAGGGACAGTCCCGCTGGTTTCACAGCCCGGAGTTGTGGGGACGTCTCTTCCCGGCCTGGAGCCCTGGTCTGGGGGCCTGCTGTGGGGCTGGGACCCCTCGCTCCTCCAGGAAACCCCCACCGCCAAGATTCCCTCCCAGGTTTACCCCGCGGCACCGGGTGTGGGCCCGCGGCCGTGTCTCCGCCCTCCTCCCGGTCTCGGTGCTTCCTCAGCTCCCTGGTTGGGGGGCTTCTGTTCAGCTGGATCTCAGGAGCTCTGAGTGACGGTGGTTCTGTATTTCAGTTGTAATTTTGATGTGGCTGCAGGAGGCAGCGGGCGCAGCTGTTACGCCGCCATCGTGTTTCTCACCTGAGCAGTTTCTTATAAGAAAGGTCCAGTTTAATTCTCATAACAACGCTACAGCTAGGCTTCCAGAGGTTAAAATGCTTATTCAAGAGCAAGGTCAGCCAACCGGGAAGGGATGAGGCTGGAATGTGAGACCAGGTTGCCCTGTATCCCGAGCCCATGCTCACGCCCTGTGCTTTAGAACAGGATGGAGAAACGGTGTGAACTCTGGGAGCCCAGGCTCCCTGAATTCTCCACATGCCTCCCCTTTTCACTGTGGAGCGCCCAGAAGCAAGGGCTCCCTGTGGCTTTCTCTGAGTCCCACTCGGGGGCTTGTCCCAGGGCCCCCGCCCTCTCCCCAGCCCCATCCCAGGAGATGCTGGGAGCTCCCGGGGTCTCCTGGTCCCGGCAGCCACTGAAAGCCTCCCTAACTGGCTCCCTCCTCTCCGCAGGGCAAAGACTGCACCACGCCCATCAACACCTGCATCCAGAACCCCTGTCAGCACGGCGGCACCTGCCACCTGAGCGAGAGCCACAAGGATGGGTTCAGGTAACAGCCCACCCTCGGGCCTGCCCTCCCAGGCAGAGATACGCACTGCGGGCCGCTGTGGGCCCACCCCGGGCCGAGCCCTCCAGGGAGAGACTGCCAGGCTCTTCTGTGTTATCCCCCGTACAGATCAGGATTGAGGTGTCAGAGGGACGAATCCTTTGCCTGCCGTTGCAGTTAGTGAGCACTGGTACAGGGACCCAAATTCAGGGACTATGTCTTTACAGCTAGAAGGACTTTGGGGGTTTGCAGCTGCTGACTAAAGTTAGAGAAGGTGGGGGTGTTGGCTCAGAGACCCAGCAGCCTGGCAATGCCACCACTCTTTATTCTGGGTCCTAAAAATAGCATTAATAGTAGGTATTATTGATTACATGCCCACATGTGCCAGGCACTAGCTAGTCATGTATGATCTCATTTAAATTCCCAGTGATCCTATCCGGTACCGGTAGGTACTGTCCCCACTTAACAGATAAGGAAACTGAGGCACAGATTGATTTGCTCTGAGGCGCATGTCCTGACACTCGCTCCTGAGTCTTCCAACCCCACCTCTTTTGTCCCCGCATTAAGAGCCCAGGGAGAAAGGGGATAGCTGAATGGAGTAAGGTGTGGTATATATGCAACGGAATATTAGCAATGAAAGAGAACACAATCCTACAATTTGCAACAGCATGGACGGACCTAGAGGGGCTTATGCTAAGTGAACTAAGTCAAACAGAAAAAGACAATGCCATAGGATTTCACTTATATGTGGCATTTTAAAAAATAAAAAATGAACAAACAAAATAAAAACAGACTCATAAAAACAAAGAACAAACTGATGGTTGCCAAAGTGGGGGTGGGGTGAAGGGCTAGGTGAAAAGGGGGAGGGGAGCATAGTCGATAACATTCTGATCATTTGCACGGTGACAGATAGTTACTAGACAGTGTAGGGATCACATCATAAGACACATGAATGTCGAATCACTATGTCATACACCTGAAATGAATATAATACTGAATGCCAACCATAATATTTAAAAAAAAGAAAAGGGTAGAAGCCATTTAAGTTTTCTCAGCCCTGTCCTAGGAGTGGGCCTTCTAGACCCCTGCCAAACCCCTGCCAAATGTGGGCCCCCTTCCTGCTTCCTGCCCTCCCTGCTGCTCTCAGATGCCCACTTTCCTTGCCCAGGCCCTAGCAGAAGCAGACTGGTGGGAACTGGCTCATTTTCCAACCCCCACCCCAGTGAGCCAATGGGTTAGGCAGTAAAGGAGGGGGCGCCGGATGCCAAGCTGTGTGCAGATGCCTTAGATCTCAGGTTGCAAACAATTAATTTTCAAAGGCACTCTGGCCCCGGGCTGCTGTGTGGTCTGTGAGAGAGATCAGGTTCGCGCTCTGGCTTCTCCCAGGGGCACCCAGCCCACCCACGCGTCCACCTGCCAGCCAGCCCCATCAAACTCTGCCTCTTGAAAAGTGAAAATCAAGGCAGAGTTTGTTTTCCTGCCTGGAGCCAACCAAACCACCCCACCCTCTTGCTGGGAGCCGGGTCAGGAGAAGCCACAGGGAAGTATGGTGGCAGCCGTGGTGCCCCAGCCGGGAAACATACCTCCAGGGTGAAGGCCCGGTTCTGCCCACTCAGCCGAGGGGTGAGGGTTGGCAGGAGGGGGCAGCGGCCCCCGTGGGCCATTGTGTTTCTCCCTCTCAGCTGGAGAATCCCATTTCCACCCTCAGTTGTTGAGGAAATTCAAATGAACTGGACATGTTTCTAGAACTTAATTTTCAAGGGAAAGGTGCCCAGATCTACAGAACTAGGAAAATCACGTGGAGAGTGAAGGCAGTGAGGCCCACGTAGGATGACATAACCATGTGGGCCCCGGAGGGGCAGGGAAGTTCTCCCTCACCAGGTCAGCACCCTACAGGTTGGCAAAGGGAGGGACACTCATCCAGGAAGCTTTGCGGCCTCCTTCCCACGTGTGTCAGTTTCCCAGGGCCACCTGACAGACCCCACAGACTGTGCTGGGAACAACAGGAATGAATCTTTCACAGCTGCAGAAGCCAGAGGCCCAAAGGCCAGCTGTTTCACTCCAACCTCTGCCTTCATGTGGCGCTCACCCTGTGTGTCCCTTCATGTGGCTGTCATCGTATAGGGACAGCGTCATCCAGGACCAGGGGCCCATGTTACTCCAGCATATCTCATCTTAAATTAACTAATTACACCTGCAATGACCCTCTTTCCAAATAATAAGCTCACATTCTGAGGGACTTAGGGTTAAGACTTCAGCGCTCTCCCTTTGAGGAGACACACTTCAACCCTCACATCTCTTACGAGTCCAAATTCTAGAAGCATTGTGGATCTGCAGAGATGTTTTTCAATCTGGCCAAGCTGGCTGGATAGGAGACCAAGACCGGGAGATGTGACCTGTCCACAGTGCTCATGGCCAACCTTGACAACGCCCACCCCACCAGGTTTTCTAGTGAGGGCAGGGACACTTGACCTTCCTCTGCACCCTCTGTCCATGCCATGAGCAGCCCCTGTCCCCTTGACCGGCCACTTTCATGCAATCCTAAGGCTCTGGGACAGCCAGGGGAAGTCGTTTCAGGAGCATGGGCAGGACTGTGGTTTCAGACCTTTGAAATCCTACCTCCTGTCCAGCTCTGAAGAACTAGCCTTTCTCATGAACACCCAGGGTCCCTAACAGAAAAGGGGAATCTGTCATTTTATTCCACTAAGAGCTCAGGTTCAAGGACCCCCGGCCTTTGTAGAAAGTGTGCCGTGGTTTTCGGGTTGGAGAAGAAAGGAAGTTAAGTGGGATTCTAGAAATCTGCTTCCTGTTAGTTTACATTTTCGCTCAACCCATATCAGAGCAGCTTCTGAAACCAAGACCTGCAATTCCAGCTGTGACCCTGGTACACACCACCCTAGACAGGGTGTAAATGCCTGACCAGGCCACAGAGAAAGGAGGGTTCACTGCAGTTACTCAGGCACTCGTCTGCCAGCTGCCCCCACAAATGCCCCTTGCCCTTCTCATCCGCCCAGCCTTTACCAGTTCTGATTTATTTTGCACACCTAATCCTGGGGGTACGTTGGGTGGAGATGGTGAGTTGAGGCTTTTATCCAAGAGAGTGAACGCTTCAGAGACAAGTTAAGGAAAGGCACCCTGCTGACCTCTGTGTGTGTTTTTACATTCAATAGTATTTTGTATTAGTTTCAGGTGTGCACCATAGTGGTTAGACAATCCTATACTTTTTAAGTGCCCCCACCCCCATATTTCCAGTACCCACCTGGCACCATACATAGTTAGTATAATATTATTGGCAGTGTTCCCTATGCTGTACTTTACATCCCTGTGACTATTTCTTAACTATCAACTGGTACTTCTTAATTCCTTCACCTTTTTCACCCAGTCACCTAATCCTCCGTCCCTTCTGGCAATTATCAGTCTGTTTTCTGTATCTATGAGTCTATTTCAATTTTGTTTGTTCATTTATTTTATTCTTTAGATTCCACGTGTAAGGGAAATTATATGGTATTTGTCTTCCTCTAACTGATTTATTTCACTTAGCACAATGCCCTCTAGATCCATCCATGCTGTCACAGATGGTAAGATTTCATTCTTTTTTCTGGCCAAGTAATATTCCATTGTATACATGTACCACCTCTTTTTTATCCACTCGTTTATTGATAAGCACTTGGGTTGCTTCCATTTCTTGGCTATTGTAAATAACACAGCAATGAACACAGTGGTGCCTATATTCTGTCAAGTTAGTGTTTCAGGTTTCTTCAGATATATTCACAGAAGTGGAATCACTGGGTCATAAGGCAGTTCCATTTTTTATTTTTGAAGACCCTCCATACTGTTTTCCATAGTGGCTGCACCAACCTGCATTCCCACTAACAGTGAACAAGGGTTCCCTTTTCCCCACATCCTTGCCGACACTTGTGGTTCATTGATTTGTTGATGGCAGACATTCTCACAGGTGTGAGGTGACATCTCATTGTGGTTTTAATTGCATTTCTGTGATGATTAGTGGCGTTGAGTATCTTTTCATGTCCTTTGGCCAACTGTATGTCCTGTTTGGAGAAGTGTCTATTTATGTCCATTGCCCGTTTTTTAATTGGATTGCCTTCCTTTTATTAAGTTGTATAAGTTCCTTATATATTTTGGATATTAACCCTTTATCCAATGTGTCATTGGCAAATATGCTCTCCCATACAGTGGGCTCCCTTTTCGTTTTGTTGATGGTTTCCTTTGCTGTGCAGAAGCTTTTTATTTTGATGCAGTCCCATTTGTTTATTTTCTCCTTCGTTTCTCTTGTCCTAGGAGATGTATCAGCAAACATATTGCTATGAGAGATGTCTGAGATTTTACTGCCTATGTTTTCCTCTAGGATTTTTATGGTTTCATGCCTTACATTTAAGTCTTTTATCCATTTTGAATTTACTTTTGTGTATGGTGTAAGTTGGTGGTCCAGTTTCATTTTTTTGCATGTATCTGTCCAATTTTTCCAACACCATTTATTGAAAAGACTGTCTTTACTCCATTGTATGTTGTTGCCTCCTTTGTCAAACATTAATTGACCATAACGGCATGGGTCAACTTCTGGGTTCTCTGTTCTGTTCCACTGATCAATATGTCTGTTCTTGTGCCAGTACCAGGCTGTTTTGATTACAGTGGCTTTGTAGTATAAC